CCCCGTGCGTGTATCCTTGGCACCGCGAGGCGATGCGCGAAGGCCGATGCTGATCCGCCCAGAACGCCATCCCTGGCACTCCGAGGCCACGGATCTGCATGAGGGGTGCGCCCTGCGATTTGCAAAAGCGCCCAAAACGCCATTTCTGGGACTCCGTGGCCGAGGATCTGCGCGAGGGGTGCGCCCTACGATTTGCAAAAGTTCCCGAAACACCATTCCTGGCACTCCGAGGGCACGGATCTGCGTGAGGGGTGTGGCCAAATGGGGGGCGCGGAAAAGGGGCGGCGTAAAGGCGCTTGAAGACATTTTAAGATTTAAAATCGCTATAGACTCTTAATTCAGAACTCCACTCCTGGCGCTCCGAGGCACGGATATGCGTGAGGGGTGTGCCCAAATGGGGGGGGCCGGAAGGGGCGGCGTACAGCCTCTTGAAGGCATTCAAATCTTTATAGGCTCCCAGTTCAGAACTCCATTCTTGGCACTCCGAGGGCGCGGATCTGCGCGTGAGGGGTGTGCCCAAATGGGGGGCCCAAAAGAGGCGGCGCAAGGGCGCTTGAAAGCATTTTAGGATTCAAACGATTAAGCGCTCTTAGTTCAGAACACCATTCTTGAGCGGATCTGCGCGTGAGGGGTGTGCCCAAATGGGGGGCGCGGAAGGGGCGGCGTAAGGGTGCTTGAAGGCATATTAGGATTCAATTTGTTACATGCTCTTAGTTCAGAGCACCATTCCTGTCATTCCGAGGGCACGGATCTGCAAGAGGGGTGTTCCCAAATGGGGGGGCGCGGGAGGGGCGTCGTAAGGGCGCGTGGAGGCATCTTGGGATGAGAAATCTTTATAGGCTCTTAGTTCAGAACACCATTCCTGGCAGTCCGTGGGCACGGATCTGCGTGAGGGGTGTGCCCAAATAGGGGGCGCGGAAGGGGCGGCGTAAGGGCGTTTGGAAGCATTTTAGGATTCAAACGTTTAAAAGCTCTTAGTTCAGAACACTATTCCCGGCTCTCCGAGGCACGGATCTGCGTGAGGGGTGTGCCCAAATGGGGGCGCGCGGGAGGGGCGGCGTAAGGGCGCCTGAAGGCATGTTAAACATTAAGTATCTCTATAGGCTCTGGATTCAAAACACCATCCCTGGCGCTTCGAGGGCACGGATTTGCGTGAGAAGTGTGCCCAAATTGGGGGGGGGGGCGGAAGGGGCGGCGTAAGGGCGGCTGAAGACATTTTAGGATTTGAATGTTCTAGGCTTTGAGCTCTTAGGGTTTAGGGTTTAGGGTCGGTTTCTTGCGAGGGTTTCTCGCGGCCGCGTCCGCACTCTACCCTACTGCTCTTCGTGTCAGCTGGACGCTCGTGTGCACCCTGGGGAGCGTACCCTTGGATGTTCTCTGTGTGTGTTGGCTGGCTGGGGGTCCTTCTTGTTCTCGAGGGAGGTTCTTTTGTCCTAGGTTGGTCAGGAGGAAATAAACACACAGACACAATTAATTTCGATTCCCAGAAAAATGTAGGAAAATATGGAAAGTGGGGGGGAAGACGAAAACAGAGAAAATATATACAAATATGGGGAATCCGATGATTTGTGTCTATTTACTTGTGTGTCCCAGGGCCCCTTCAGTTGGACTGCAGGGGGGAAATGCTCAGGGAGGAACGTTTCGCCCCCGAATCGCTCATGGATCGCCGATTGGGGCCCCGATAGCCCGCCCGAAGGAATGTGCGGGTTCGCTATCGGGGGCCTCGCATCGCCGATTCCAGCTCGACGATTCCCCCCCGGAGCCGGTCCCCCGTTCCGTTCCCCCGATCCTTCCCCCACTCGTCGAGGAAGGGACATGGGCACAGGCACAACCTTGCGGAGGATCGCGCGGGTTTCTTGGATCGGCGCTGGATCCCTTATCCATGGCGCGCAGAGCGCGCCTGGGGCGGCGCCAGATGCCAGCGGGGTCCATCGCCGATCCAAGAAATCTGCGTGGACCTCCGAAAGTGATTGTTTGTGTAGTTTCTTGTTGCTCTAGCTTGAAGTCGGGCCTGTCCCTCTACAGGAGGAAAATTCAAGTATTGTTCAAAAATCGTCTGGGGACGATTTTTTGAATTTGTTTTGACTATTTTAAGGTATTTTATAACACTATTTTCTATGTTTCGCTCACAATCCCCCTTTAGGAGGACAGTCCCGACTTAACTCGAGCTCCCTGTGCCCCCTTCCTTTTCTTCCCCTTCCCTTGCCTCGTGCACGCCATCTCACACGCTGCGCCCGCCCAGTGGGAGACCAAAGAAATACACGAGGAGCCGGCCGTGAGGCCTCTTTGGTGTGCGCGTGAAGTGTATAGCGCCGCCTGCTCGTGGCGCATGGGGGAAGGGATCGCTACCCTCTCCCATACCTCCTTCTACCTACAGCAACCCTTTTAGGTTCGACTCTGCGGTCGTCAACCTATACACACACACACACACACACTTGGTGGTCTCGAGGCCACATCAGGGCCGCCTTGGAGGCGCACGATGCCGATTTGGAGCCGTGCGGAAGACGGCCAACCAGACTTGGATGACATACCTGCTTAGGCAGTAGGAGGAGGAGTCACGCTGGCGGTCATATGTTGAGCATTCGCTTCAGGCTTTTAGAGTAGAGGAGGAGGAGGAGGAGGAGGAGGAGGAGGAGGAGGAGGAGGAGGATGTTATTTGACCGTGGGTTGGAGACAAGCGCAAACTCCCGAACACTCATCACAGCGACGGGTGCGGCCGACCGAGGGGCCCGAAACGACACGAAGCGATTGCCAAAGTGGACCACGCGGCGGAGGGACAACGACCGAGGGAGAACCGAGGCCTGGAGCACCAAGGGGACAAAACGCTGGCAAGCTAATCGCCGGCAGTGCAAACTACGGTCATATGTCATATATCATCATCGTCATTTTCGTCCTCCCCCCCAAATTCCACCCACCACCCACGTCTACAAGAAAAACGGCCCACTTGCTATGCGGCCCTCTCATATGTAGGGCGCGGGTCTTCATCAGCGTGACGATCAGGTGGTCGATGCGAGTTCTGTGGGAACCTGAAGGGAAGCTCGGCACGAACAGTATCGGGAGGCTTGCCACGCACAGCTTCCGGGAAAAACATATGAAAGGACTGGGGAGGAATTGCACCATCGTGAGGACCAGTCTCATCACGAACAGGATCCACACGAATACGGGAGCGGAGCTCCATCTAACGAAAGCATATGACCAAAATCATCATCTTGGAGAAACAACAGTACGAGGAACACAAGCACTTGATTCAGTTGTCTGTACTTCGCTGGCGACCTGGAAAGGCCAAATACATTGCAGTGTATCAGGTGCGGTGGCACCACTCATCATACCTCAACGCGGACTTCCTCAAGGTGACAGTGTTGCGCTTACAGCGATTGTCCTCAGCCTCACGCCCTGGCGACTTGGCGACCAGTCAGCGGCCAGGCGTACATGGACGATCGCTCGCTGACCGCAGCCAACAGTGACTTTTTGCAGGACGATCTTCGGTACACGTCCGTTTTTGACCGGGTTCGTTGAGAATCAAGGCGAGCGCCAAACGTGGAGGATGGACGACGAACCCTTCAGCTGATTGAGCACCTGGGGATCGTGGCCCGCCCGACCGACCCAGAGTACCCCACCGGCTTACGAGGAGGATGGGAGAATGTAGACACAGCCATACATACGCTGGGCCCCATTCCAGGAGCATCTGAAGTGCACGAACGGCTTGCAATATCATGTATCCGCCCGCTGTGGATATGGTGTTCCCCACTGCTCTCTGCCCCGCCGACTTAGCGAAGAAGTTGCGCATCGCGATCCAACGGGCAGGTACCAAATGTTGGTGCCACGGGCGATGGTGGTGCACGAGGGTACATTGCCATCCTATGTTTCGGCCGCACTTCAGGCCATGAGACTGGTATGGCCCCAGTTTGGTGACACAGCTATGGTGAAGCACGCATCACGTATCGGTCTCAGATGCATTCATATATCTATATATACAAACAAGAAAACAATAGAACATGGTCGTGGATGTCTTCTCGAGGTCCCAGGAGGACGATCACAGAGTACACCCACTGGTGCAAGGACTGGCAGATGCGCAAGGCCGCTTCTGGACACACCTACCAGGCGAAGAACGACACGCCAAACGGGTGCAACACATATTCCGACCCATATGTCGGGTTGTTTTGCGCGCAGTTGGTGAATCAGGCAAGGATAAATTCCGAAACGATCGGTGAGGTCGACGCGGGGGCGCTCTAAGGCAGACCTTTTTAAATCTCGTGGGGTCTCTCTCCGTGGCAGACAAACATATTCTTGGGATCTTCTTGGCAGGTGCAGTTTCGACGGAGACAACGCAGCAGACGGGACGGCCCTGCTCACATTGTGGGGCCTCGTGGCTGAGTTTCAAGTATCTCTTGTCGGACTGTCCTGGGTATCTCATCCGACGTATCAACGTTGCGAGGGCCGGGGAATCCGTGCCAACCTTTGGACTTCGGTCCCAAGGGCCACGGCGAAGTCTGTCTGGCTGGATCACGCCGGACATGTCGCAGAACCCGATCAAACGATCTGAGATGATGGTTGCGGCCTGCGAGCTGGGAGTTGGCATGCTTCCGATGGAACCTTCACCAAGTGCCTGTCGAGTGTAGTTTACCTATGTGGGGAAAGTCCTCGTTACGGCTACCCCACTCGCCATCATCAGCACCCCGAGCGCGCCCACGAACATGCGCATGGAAAGGACCACGAATTGGGTGGAGCCAAACACGGGCAACCGCCAGGCGCGCCGCCCACCAGGATGCTCCGGGAACGACATGCCGTCCAGGATGGCAGCTTCCAGAAACACTACTTTCAGGAGGCTCTCCACGAACATACTCAGAAGGTTTGTCGCGAGCAGCTGCACCACCATAGGGCCCAGGCTCATCGACAACAGGTTCCACATAATCGGCACCAACACGATCGGCGCCAAGAACCAAGTCACGAACAGGTTCCTGCAGAGCCAGTTCATCACGATCAGGAAATAGAGCGCATTCATGAGGGTCAGTGGCGTGAGGAACAGCGAAGTCTTGTTGAAGACCTCCAGCTTCGGTGATAAAAACGTCAGCAGCATAACCATTGTCGCACTGTGGCACAGGGACTTCGGCTGGGCGAGCAGCATCTGCCTGCAGAAGCCAGGGTAGACGAGCCTCATCAGCCCTTTCGCAAGGAACTGCAGCATTGGCAACAACGGCCGGAGAGTGCACATCAACATCAGAGGCAGGTCCGTCGTGAGTTCCATGGGCATCGGCAGGATCGAAGAGGCGAGCACGGACCGCCTCCAGCACCTCAACAGAGATTCCGCCCTTTGTCAATGAAGACAGCGACGCTCCGCAGCTGCCAGAGGGCGCCCGATGATGCGCCCAGTTCCCGTGCACCAGTAAGCCGTCCATCTCGTTGATGTAGTCCGCGGGGATGTGCAGGAGACGCACGGCAGCGACAGCCTCGCCCATTTTGCCCGCATGCCATCTCAAGGCATCTGACTGCTCCCAGTGCGCTGCCAGGGACCTTCGAAACGCCTCCGTGCGCTGGGCGAGGACCTCAGCGCGAGACGTTCCAAGCTGCAGCCGCCGCAGCCGCAGCCGCCACGCACTGCCGTCCGCCTCCGCCCTCAGCCGCACCCGCTGCCTCCTCCTCCTCCTCCTCCTCCTCCTCCTCCTCCCCCTCCCCCCCCCCCCTCCTCCTCCTCCTCCTCCTCCTCCCTCCTCCTCCTCCTCCTCCTCCTCCTCCTCCTCCTCCTCCTCCTCCCCCTGCGCCGCCGCGGCCGCCGCGTCAGTGTGCGGGCGGAGGCAGCGGCCCAAGCCTTGCCCTCGGGCAGGGCATCGCTGCACGGCCTCGTGCACAGAGCAGGCGCGCCGCGGACAGGCGCATCGCGGAGCGTGGGCCCTCCCGTGAGCCAGGCTTCTCGAGCCAGAGTGGCTATGGAGGAGGAGGAGGAGGAGGAGAAAGAAGAGGAGACGGAACAGGACGAGGAGGAGGAGGAGGAGGAGGAGGAGAAGGTGGAGTGCGACCGTCGTCGTTGTCATTGTCGTCGCCCCTCCCCCCTCCTCCCCTTCCACCCGCCCCCTCCCCCCTCCCCTCCCCAGCCCGTTGCGCCTGGGGGGCAGGGAGGGGGCAGGGGGGCGCTGGGACCAGGGATGAGCGACGACTGGGAGGAGTGGGGAATTGCAGGTCCACCTCGATCCGATCGATCCGATTCGATATCGGCTCCAGCCAGCCCTATTCGATTCGATCCTCATTTTTGGGCGATGCGTTGCGGCTCGATGCTTGCGTGGCGCTGTTGTGCATCCTGGCGCCGCCGATCAGATTCGATTCGATTCTGGCTCCATGCCGATGCGATCCGATCCGATGCACATCTCGACTCGATCCGATTTGCCGCCCAGCCGATGCTGACTGATCCTGGGGATGAGGGCATGAATGAGGCTGGGAGGGGGCGCAGCAGCAGCACCACACAGAAGCATCAGCAGAGGCAGGAGGGAGCACTACGGTCGGGAACTTTAGGATAGCGTGTCGCTCCGCCGGTTCTGGCCCACCACGCTCAGGCGCGACTCGCTATCCACTTCTTAGTCTCCAGGCGTCCGTGTCCCTAGCTGTTCCCGACCTCCCACATCGCGGAGCGGATCGACACGCTTTCCACTCGCAGGGCATTGCGTGTCGTCTGGGTCGCCGCCACGACACGCTATCCACGAGTTGTCGACTGTATCGCCTCCAGAGAGGTGGCGTGCGAAGCTGCGCTGGCTCGGTCAGCCAGTCTGACTCGAGACTCATCTGACTCTGGACTGCTGTTTCGATCCTCCGTTTACCGTGCCGGTGCTCGGATGCTCGCTGGCCTTGGACTTGTTCAGACTCCTGGCCCAGACCTGCCTTCTCGGATGAGTCTTGTTGGAACGGATGGCGTAGTGGCAATAGGCAATGCTTCATCCATTGCGTTGGAAGTTACAGCCAGGACATGCAGGAATCGCATGAAGGAATTTGCCTCGCTGCAGGGCGCGATCAATGAGTGGAGGCAGTTCCAAGTGATCTGTCATCCAATATGGTGAAGACATTCATACATGCGTAGGACATCTCAAGATGTTGCGCGCTTCAAAGCATCCTGCTGCCAGGTGCAGCTGTGGGCTTGGTTCACAAGTTTGTCGGTGATGCCCGTATGATTGCGCCGATGGCATCCCATATAGCGGGGGCCAGTCTGAAGTAGGTGACACTGCTTTGAAACCTAGCCAGAAAGCAATCATAGTAGGCAGAGTAGATTTCGCCACGGTGGCTCCGTAGCGGCGCTGAAATCGCTGACACTTCGATCGACCTTCGTTTGGGATCAGCACTATTTAAATTGCCGCTGCCGACACAGGACATAACCTACTTCGCTGGAGCTCAACCGGGCGATGAATGACCATGCCAATTGTGACGAGAAAGACCACATCTTTCACCGCATTCAGGACATGCTTCAACCGCCTCCGTAATTAATGCTTTGAGGTGCAAATTCGGCTCGAGGTATCTGCAACCTCTGCACTGCCAGGCGTTGAAGCGCTGCCAATAAACAATCAAGATGCAGCCGGTGGTTTGCCCAAAGACCGCCTTGCGCTGCGACTGACATGTTAGTTCATCATTGGCCTGTGGGAGTGATGAGGTGCGCGAGGTCGGCATGTGCCTCCCGCGTGTGGCACAGTTCTGACGTTCTGACTACCACGAGCTGCTTGCTCCCGAGAGGGCTCGCGCGAGAGCGATGCTGCTGCGATAAGCCTTATGTGGTTGAATGATGGGCTGGAAGGCTCGACTGAGACCCCCAGTCAGACATATTTTTATTACTTGCCCCAGTCTGAATGCGACCCACCACCTGGCTGGCACGAGGGCATCCCTGGGGAATTTGACGTGATGTGATGGGCGAGACCCTCCCTCCCTCCCCTCCCCTCAGAGCGCTCCCTCTGGTTCCCCTCGTCGCTCTCGCGCCATCCTCCCTCCCCCTCCCCCTCCACCCCACATCCTCCTCTTTCCTCCTCTCTTCCCCCCCTTCCCCCCCCTTCCCCCCTGGGGTCGATGGGAGGCCGGCCTCCAGAAGAGCGTCCCTGGCGAAAATGTACCCCGAGGATTTCCAGGGAGGCCCATGTGGCCCCCAGAGTACCACTCACGAGGCCCAAAGGGTCCCATGGGGCTCTGTGGTGGCGCGAAGAGCTTGGGGCACCTCGGGCAAGGGACACCCTTCTCAGACATCCGATGTCTTGATTACGAAGGCCTTACGAGTGGTGTTGCTGGCACTTTGTGCCAAGAAGGGGTGGGAGGAGGAGGAGGAGCAGGAGGAGGAGGAGGAGGAGGAGAGGGATGAGGAGGTATGATTATGATGATGATGGTGATGATAATGATTATGATGATGACGATGATGATAATGATGATGATGATGAGGATGAGGATGACGACGACGATGTCGACGATGATGACAATACTGATGATGATGATGAGGAGGAGGAGGATGATGATGATGATGATGATGCGTTTGATGATGATTGTGCTGTTGATGATGATGCTGATGATGATGATGATGATGCTGATGATGATGATGATGATGATGATGATGTTGCTGATGCTGCTGCTGCTGCTGCTGATGATGATGATGATGGTGGTGATGATGAGGATGATGATCGTGAGCAGGAGGAGGAGGAGCAGGAGGAGGATCCCCAGGGGGGTCACAACCGGAAGTGGTAAAGATCACAACCGACTAAACGAAATTTCAACCACTTCGGTACGTATCCCAACCAACATGGATGTAGTTCTTGACGTTTCGCGTATCCCCACCAGCTTGGACGCCTTTTGACCCGCTTCACGAGGCCGTTGACCAAAAAGTATCCCCACCAGCTTTCCTCGCAGTGCTTGTCTCCTACGTGTCGGCGATCACCTGAGCGTTCTATACGGTACCTGGAGGCAGTTGTTTTCCTAGTCCGCTACTTCCCGTCGTTCCTGTTCGTCTTCTTGGTGCTTACGGTACTCCTGTTGGTCCGGTCGCTGTTCTATGTCGTGGAGTCCTTCTGGGTCCTGTGCTACGTGTTCGGACAGGTACCTCGGGAACCGTTGGTCCGTTTCGCCCTTGATGTCACCGCCGCGCTGGGTACGTGTGGCGTTTTCTCCGTGGTCGCAAGTGGGGTCGCCTTCCACTGACAGCATCCTGCTCGACACCTGCGTGGACGTGTTCCCGGTGCCGCTTCGTGATGCTGCCCGCGCCATTTTGGCTGCCCTGAGCTCCGTCCGGCTCTGTGATTGACGCTGCTAACCGTTTCGTTTCTTCCTTAGCTCGTGGCACGGCCTGCCCCTGCTTGCACGGCGTTCGACTCGCTCGGCGCGCTCGCGTACCAAAACGTATCCCCACCTGCCCATCCAGAAACGACGCCCCGGCGAGTTAAGGTGATCAGGGACGTGTAGAAGCAAAGAGGGGGACAGCCGAACCGTTCGAAGGAGGAGGATGGATGGACGGATGGATGGATGAGGGAGGGGGGAAAAGGATGATGAATAGGAGGAGGAGGAGGAGGAGGAGGAGGAGGAGGAGGAGGAGGAGGAGGAGGATGAGGAGCAGGAGGAGGAGGAGGAGGAGGAGGAGGAGGAAGGAGGAGGAAGGCGAACAAAAGGGGCAGGGGCCTCTTGGACGCCTCTCGGAGTGTCTTGGGATATCTCCTGGGCGCCTCTTTGAGGTCTCTTGGGTCGTCTTCGGGGTCCCTTGGGGGGGGCAATTTTGGAGGCCGGTTGGGCCTCTTAGGGTAATTTTTGGGCCTTTCGGGGCCTCTTTGGCGCATCCTGGGGCCATTTTGGAAAATGTCGACCCACAACAAAAGGGACACCGTTTTTTTAGCGCTCCCCTTCTGGGAGCTCCAAAGATCGCCTCTTGGGGCGCTCTTGGGACGCTCTTGGAATGCTCTTGGGCGTTTTGGGGGCCGTCTTGGAGTTCTTTTGAGCCTCTCTTGGGGCCGTCTTGGGCCATCTTGGACCCGTCTGGAGGCTTCGGATGGCCATCGGAAGCGGAAGGGCGAGAAAACACAGCGCGATGTTGGTCTGTGGCTTTTGAAGGGTTTTAGCCTTTTCGGGGCTTCCTTGGAGAGTTTTCTGGCCACTTGGAGCCGTCTTGTCACGGTCTTGGGGCCTCTTTGGGCCTCTTGGAACATTTTGGGTGCCATCTTGAGGCATCGTGCGCTATCTTGAGTCATCTTGGAGGTCGTCTTGGGCTCCCCGAGGCGCTCTTGGAGCCATCCTGGGCCATCTTGGGCGCTCCAACGCGTCGCGGCCCCCCCGTCCCCCCATCCGGGTCCAGGGGAATTGGCAGGGGGAAAGGTAAACCCCTCTCCGAAGGAGAAGAAGGTGGTTGGAAGACGAAGCGCCCTAGACAACCTACGCCCAGAGGGCTGGTGGGATTCAGCCACCCCGTATGGAAAAAGCGTGCGAAGAGCTTCTGTGCGGCTGCGGAGTGGTCATAGGGCAGCGGCTTCCCTCCGACCCGATGACGACGTCCCTCGATTTCCTAGAGAGGGGTGCTCCTCCCGGGGGAGTGTGGGGGGGTGTCTACAAGCCCGTGAAATCCCCCCTCCCCCTGGCGGGGGAGGGATCAAAAGAAAAGGGCCCGTCCCCCTTCGGCTCGATGACAGCTTCTCATTTTTCCCATTGGCGCCGAAGCCCAGAGCGACCCGATGCCGACGTTCCTCGTTTCCCTCTTGGCTGGAACGATGGAAGCAGGGCGCCCCCGAAAATCGGGGAGAGCTGCGACGGCCACGCACGACGGCTCAAACGGAACAGCGTCAAGGGGGGCGGCGGCGACGACGACGAGTGAAACGGGAAAGTGTCCCACGCGCGCCGACGGGTGCCGGCGGATTCTTTCAAGACGGGGCCCCCAGACGTGCCGAGCTTCTCCCCAGGGCTGGCTGCTCACCCCGGCCCGTCCGTTTCTGTCTGACGGCCCCGGGGGGCCGTCGAGGGCCCCCGGGCGGCCGAGGGCTGCCGAGCACCCCGCGTCGTGATCCTTCCGGGGCGCGAGCGCGTCTGGGCTGCCAGCCCCCTGGAGAAGGGGGCCGGGACGGCGGGCGAGGGGAGGGCAGCGGCTGCATGGGGTGGGGGAGCTGGCCGGCGGGGGGGGGGGGATCGGTGAGCCCCCAGGGGGGGCCCAGTTCAGGGGTCCCTCCGATCGGAGTCCGGGCCCGGCGCCTTCCAGAGCCCGCCCGGCCCCGCGCGCCAGGAGGCTCCAGGAGGTCCTCGAGGCAGCCCCAGGAACGTCTGTGGGAGGCCGCAGGAAGCATCACGAGGCCCGAGGAGGCCCCAGAAGGCTCCGGGGGGCCCAGGAAATCCCAGGACCAGAAGGCCCCCAGGAGGTTCCACGGTCCATCTCTTCTCCTCTCCCCCCGCCCCATGCGCAATTCCTCAATTTACGGTGGGGGCGTTGGTTAGAGGACTGTGCCCAGGAGGCTTCAGACTCTGGAGGATTCCTTTTCTGATGAGGGCGGCGGTGATACCCATGATCAAACCAAGATTGGAGTTCCACCCACCAGCTTCCAGGCCCTGGGTTCCTTGACCGATGGCTCTTGATCAATAGCTCACTGCACGAGTACTACTCTTCTCTCTCTCCCCGGAGCCTGTCCGAGCGGGGCCAATGCTCTTCCGCGTGCCATTTTCTAGCGCATCCGATTTCGAAGGGCTGCCTTTTGCCCAGAACTGCTCGAAACGCTTCCCGTGCAGAGCAGGCGCTCCCGCCGCTGCGCGGGCCCTCATCTTGGGACCGACCGGTCTGTCCCTGCTGCTCCCTGGGCGGTCGGGGCGGTGCGCCCAGCACCTCTCCAGCTCGTGGGCGTGACGAGCTGGCGGGAGCAGGAAAGCCCTCGAAACCTCTCTGGAAAACGCACGGGTATTGCCCCTTGGCGCCGTCTGCGCGGTCCTCGGGGGCCTTTCTGGCCCGTCGTGGGGCTCCCGTCGGGTCGGGCTTCGGCCCTCTTGGGCGTCTGCGAGGCCTCCCTGCGTCTTGCAGGTCGTCGAGGTCGCGGAGGGTGGAGACGGCCTCCTCTCCCGGCTTCCCCGTGTGCTCCTCGTGGCTCTGGTGTCGCCTGGTTGCCTGCTGCTGGGAGAACGCGGGCGGGAAACGTATCCATATCCACGGCCTCGCGGGCCGGGCCCCTGGGCCGCGACCCTATGGATGCGGGGCGTTTGTTCCGAGGGCTGCCCCCCCGCGCGAAATGTATCGACGTGACCACGCATCCACGGGATCTCGCCCCGAAGTCCAGACCGCGAGGGCGTGGAAATGGACATGTTCGCCGCTCGTGACTCGGATCAGGAGCCGTCCTCTTGCCGGGCCCCCCCCCCCGCGCCTTTCCCGTGCGCGCGCAGGCGAGCGCAGAGAAAAGCGTGATCCTGCTGCACGGCTTCGGCGACGCAGGCGCGGCCTCGCGCGGCCCCGCTGCGGCCACTGTTCGGTGGCAGCCAGAGGGCACGTTGGCCCCGTCCAGGGGCTATAGAGCTAGCGAGCACGATTCGGCGGCGCGCTGAGGGGGGAAGTTAAGAAGGAGGGCGATGTCAGAGCGGCTGTTGGCATTCGAGGGAGGGCCCTCGTCGCCACGGCTGGACGCAGCTGGGAAAGCTGGTGCGTTTGGGCCCCGGGAGGTCTGGAGACCGATCTTGAGCTGCCGTTGTCTGAACTCGCCCTACCCCGAAACGTACAAGGGGGGTTAGGCCTTCTCAGACGGCGGGGGGCAGAAGCCCTCTGGCCTCCTGAAGAGCCGTCTCTGTACCCGGAGAATGCTCAGGAAGTCTTTCTCCGGCCTTCTGAGCTTTGTGAGAAGGCCGGCCCCTTGGGCGCGCCGCCGACTGTTTTTTTGGCCTACGTCACAGCGCCGACCTCTGGGCTTACTGGGGTTTCTTGTGGTTCGTTGTGTCATTGGTGTCTTGGTCGGTTTTTTGGGGGCCTGCCGGCGATTCTTGGGGGCCTCCTCTGGAGCCATCTTGGAGGACCATGGGCCATTTTGGAGAAACACATGATGGGGACGATGTTTTTTTGAGTCGTTGCGAAGTCGACGCGATACTGGCGTCGCAAGGGCCGGCGGGCGGCGACTTGTGGGGGCAGTGCGAGGGTGCGGAAGGGCACGTGACCGGGCACGCAGCCGGCGGCGTGCTGGAGCTTCGGAAGCGAGCGAGCCTCAGCGGCCCCGCGAGCGAACGGCAATTGGGTCTGAGTGAGAGCTGGCGACAGGTTGTCGAGAAGGCCGTGGGCAAGATGATAGCGGGGTGCGGGGAGGACGAGAAGACCCAAGGAAAGGGGAACCGCTGCTGCGGATGCTGCGCAGGGGGCGTTGGGACGGGAAGGACCCATGTCGTGGAAACGATGCAGAACCAATTGTTCGAAGGCGTCACGGGATGTCGCCATGGGCTGGACTTTCAAGCGGCCGCGCTGCAGGCCATGAGCGCGACGGCTCTCGAATGGCATGCGTTGCCCGTGGTTTTTAGAATGACGCCGTAAGGGCGGAAGACAATGGGGAGATACTTGCGCGAAGCTAGTGGCGACAACGAAACGGATTCAGCAGAGGCAGTGGCTGAACATTGACGAAATCAGCATGGTGAGCGCGAACCTGCTCGCGGAACTGGCCCCTCATTCGTGACCTGTCATGTCGGGGGCGCGCTCTGGCAAGGTAGGCACGGATGGGGTGGACAACGGGCCTTCTGGCGGTGTGAATGTTTTGTCCTGCGTGGACCTCTACCAAGTGGACCCCCAGGCGGAGCGGCGTCGAATGCGATCCTGACGTCGCGGGCTCGCGTAGCAAATGCACGCCTAGCGCGGAAGAAACCCACGGCCACTACAGAGTGTGAGGCGACGGGCAGCGTGCCATGGCAGGCATGGCGGAGCTCATTGATTGCGAGCGTTTGGACGAGAAAGGCATGCGGTTTTTGGGTTTACAAGATGAGTTCTGGCGTGGCGTGCGAAAGATCGCGCCAGTTTTTCCGCGGGGGACCAATTGACGCGCTGGGGTCGCGGCGCGGCGACGGGCCAGCGCGCGACTCCAAGAAGCGCGCGTGGAACGCGGGCGCGACCGCGGAGCAGCGCAAGAAAGCGGTAAGAAAGAACGGACACGGCGGCAAAGGGTGGCGAGCGGCCGCGAGGTTGCGCATTCCGCGTTGCTGGAATTTGCGACGCTAAGTGCAACATGGCTCGTCAACGTGCCGTGGACCAGGCCGCCTCTCAGCTGGAACCTTTGTCGCGGGCGCATGCGCGGGGGCGCCGCGGCGCTCGCCAGCAGCGGCCAGGCACGTCGGCCCACGAAGTGCGTTGAGCATGCTATCGAGGCAATCGCCGCGCAGACATGTCGGGGCGGTTGCCGCCGGCGGCGGGCACGCCCGAGGTGCTCATCACTGACCGCGCGGTTCGGTCAGAGACGCAGCTGCCGCGAGGCTGCCGCGCGCCCAGTCAGTCGTTGTCAGTGGGCGACGAAGAGGTCCCCGTCGATGACGCGCCAAAAGTGGCGCTCCGCAAGGTGCCGGGGCACATTGCGCCAGATTTCCACGCCGAGAAGAGAGCGCTGCAGGGCATGGAGAAGCCTGGCTTGCACCCCGCTGTCGCCTGGCACTGGGCGCGGCTTGGATTCGCATCGGAAGGAACGCACTTGGTGGCGAGACGAGAACAGTCTCCGATGTCGCCAGGCCTCGCGAGCGCCTCGCGCAGCGAGCACGGCGCCGGCGGCTCGAGGATAGACGCTGGGCGCGGTCATCGCGGATTTTGAAATGTCGCCGCGTCAGCTGGGTGTCCAGGCGCGCGGCCATCGCCCGCGTTAGAACGCGCTCGGGATTTCTGGGCGCCGGCCGCCCTGGCGAACCCCCTCGCGGCGAGACGGATGGAACGGCGCCGCCGTTGGAGAAGTTGCGGGGGGGGGGGGCTCTGCGGGGCGAGACTCACGCCGCGGAAGAAGCGCAGTAAACGCAGCCAGGTCGGAGAGAAGACCGAGTCCGTTTTCGCTGATTTCGAGGGGAAGTCGGCGCCGGGCTGCCGTTTCGAACGCGCGACGCCTCTAGAGGGGCCAGGGGGGGAAAGGCGCGACGCGCGCGACGATCGGGCGCTGCCGGCGCCCGAGGGGGCGGCGGGCGCATCGGAGGCGACGGGGGGGGGTCGCGCGCTCGCGCAGACAGGTGGGCGCGACCGAAGCGCTGGGGTGGCGTCGAGAAGGGCGTCTTCACAGGCGTCACAGGAGTGGCGGGGGAAGGCGGGGAGGGGCGGGGGGGGGCGCGGCGCAGCGAGCGCGGCGCAAGAACGTTTTGGAAACGGGGGCAGAGGTCGCCGCGGACCTGCGCGCGAAGGCAATTGCCGCCTCCAGCAACGGGGGCGGGAAGAACGACTGGAGCGAGGCGCAGGGGCCCGCGGCGAAGAAAAGTGTGGAGATCGCAGTGCGGATGGCAGAACGGTCGAAGACGACCTTGTGATGTCCTTCGCGTTCGGCACAGGAAGACTGGATGGGGCCCGAAGTTCGCGCGCCAGAAGCGCCCGACGGTGAACCGCGCGTCGCATTTTTCAGACGGCGGGCAGCGGCCATCGCCCAGCGGCGAGCCAAGTGTGCCATGGGGTGCGCGAAGGGGGCCCGAACCCTCCGGCGCTCTGCGCGGCCTCTGGCAGACGGCGGCCCCAAGCCCGCGCGCGCCGCAGACGGGCTTCAGTTGTTAAAGCGAGGCAATCCCGCGGCATGCGCGGCGCGCCATGGAGAGAGGGGGCGGCCCGGGCGCGTCGCCGCTCTGCGCGTCCGACCCGGGCCGATGGAGGGCAGCCAACATTGGTGGACATCGCGCATCTATCGCGGGATCAGATGGACCATTGCCTGGCTGGGGGCTCGAGCCAGCCATTTCCCGGTCGTGCGCCGCAAATGCCGCGCTGCGGGGGCGGGGGCGAATGCGTTCGAATGTTCTGCGTGGGTTCTCAGAGGAGACGGGTCGCTGTCCGCGTTTTCAGACGGCGGGCATTTGCCCAACGGCCCGCGGAGGCATTGCTGCGCTCGAGAGGGCCAGGCGGCGCGCGCGACGCGCCGCGGGGCGGGGCGCGCGCCTCGAAGAGAACGGGCGAAGCGCCTCGCGGAGGCAGGCGGCTGCGCGGACGGCGGCAATCGCTAGCACTTGCAATGAATCAGACTGCCGCGTCGCCACCGAGACCGAAAGGGAATTGCGTGCAAATCGCGAGCCGCAAGGAGTCCGACCGCCGCGTCGTCGCCGCGCCCGCGCGCGCGCTCTAGCCACAGTCTGCGAGGGCCTCGAGGCCGTGGGCGCTTCCTCGGGGCATGTGGGCATTTTGGGCGCTTTTATTTGGGTGTTGGCCATTCTCGGGGGCGTCTTGAACGGCCTTCGGGCGCTCTAAGGAGTTCCAGCGCTGGCAGGTCCAGTTGAGGGAGTTTTTGCTGGCATGTATTGGGGGCTTCGCGGGTCTCCCAGGGTGCTCAGGCTCTCTTCCGCCGTCTGGGGCCTGCCTTGGAGACTGCCCAGGTCGTCTTGGGGCTTTCTTGGGGGCCTCTATGGCTGTTTGAGAGCGATCTTCGGGGCCTCTTAGCTCGGTTGTTTTGCGCTTTGCGAAGATAAATCGGTGAATATGTAATAGTATGCGTTTCCCAAAGGGGATGAGGCGCTGCGCACTCCTTCAGGCTTTCTTGGGGGTCCACTATAAGCTGTCCGGGAGCGTCTTGGGACATTCGGTAGAGGGGGGAAGTACTGAACACCCCCCCCATCGCCCCTACCTCAACGTTGGCGCGCGCGGGGGGGACCGCGGTCGAAGTGCATCTCATCAGACCCACCGCCAATTTTGAACATTGGGGGGGGGGCGGGGGGCCGTTGACAGTTTGGGGGGGGGGGGGGGGGCCGTTGACATATGCACGTGGCATGAGTGTTCATTTATTTGTTCCGAGGCCTGCTTTGATGGCCTTGACAGGGCCCGAGGGGCCATTCGGGGCCACGTAGAGACAACCTTGGGCCATCGCGGGGCGTCTGGGGGCAAGTGGAGGCTGTCCGAGAACGTCCGGGACGATGCTGGAGCTGATGGCCCGCTGGCGGAGCAATGGCGCCCTTGGCCGGCCCCCCCCATTCCATGCCGACTCTTTGGGAAGAGGTTTGAGACAGGGCAAGTACGCGCGTGCTGGTGAAACCCTAAGGAGGCGACGGATTCTTTCCTCGCCAAGCCGCGCCCGCCCAATCCGTCGACGTAGGGCCCACCAAAAGATTTACGGCATTGGTTCGGGGCAGTCTGTCCACCGGAGCGTCGAATGAATCGCCGCTCTTTGGCTCCCAGTACCCTTGTTTGGTTATGCCCTTTTCGTGTTCCCCTCCTGCAAGGAGATCCGCTTGCGCGTTGCGCGCGCGATCCAGCACGCAGTTGCAACGACTTCACGTTCAGAGCGTGTTCCTCTTCCCTTTCAGCGCGCTCCTCCTATTCCCGCCGCCTGCCGTGTTCATGTCGGCCCCGTGCGTCGCGCGGCTGCCCCCAAACGCGGCGATGGCCCTCGCTGCTGCGGAAAAAGATTGTTTGGCTGGCCCTTTGAAGCTGGCGGTTCGCCTCAGAGGGCTGGGCGGTACGAAATGCCGAGAGAAGCTCACTGCGTGGTCACCTCTTCGCTTTGTTCTCTCGTTGCGACCCGGCCCAGTTTCCATCCCCAGGATCAGGGTTTCTGGAGTCATCAGAAGCAGTGCCCCCCACCCACCCCAGGAGGCCCACATGTGGCCAAAACCTAAGTACATTCAATGAATTTGGCATTCTCGCTGAGGCGTCTTGGGTGCCTCTGGGGGGTATCTTAGGGCCTCGTGGGTGTATCTTGGGGGCCTCTTGGGGCCATCCTGGGGGTCTCTTGGGTTTTTTGGGGGGCCACGTGGGGCCATCTTGGGCCATCTCGGGACCTCTCGGGGCCTCCCGGACGCCTCGTGGGGCCATCTTGGAGGAGATCGATCACAGGAGGGGGGGGGCTCAATCGGCCCCCCTCAGGAGGCCAAAATGTGGCTAAAACCATGGTAGAACCAATGATTTTGGCTTCCTCGCCGAGGCCGTTTTGGACGCTTCAACGCGTCGCGGAACTCCCCGCCCACGTCCAGGAGAGGCGGTGGGGGGAGGGGTCAAGACTCCCTCCCCGCCCGCAAGCCGCATCGTTCACTCCCACCCGCCCCCCCAACACAAGCGTAGCACCCGAGCTTGGCCCGAGCCGCAGCATATTCAGCAGTCGTCTTTGGATGGGCAGCTACTGGGGGCGGGTCCGCCGCCGCCGCCGCCGCCGCCGCCGCCGCCCGCCGCAGCCGCAGCGCCGCCGTCGCCGCCGCCGCTGTCCGCCGCCGCCGCCGCCGCGCCGCCCGCCGCCGCCGTCCGCCGCCGCCGCCGCCGCGGCGCCCGCCCGCCGCCGCCGCCGCCGCCCGCAGCCGGCGCCCCCGCTGCCGAGTCGCCGCTGCCGCTGCCGCCGCAGCCGCCTGTTGCCACCACCGCTGCCGCCGCCGCCGCCGCCGCCGCCGCCGCCCCCGCCGCCGCCGCCGCCCCCCGCCCGCCACCGCTGCCCCGCCGCAGCCGCCGCAGCCGCCGCCGTCTCCAAGTGTACTCTGTATCGTTTGTTTGACAAGGATTGTGGGGGGAGGCCGCATCGGGTTGGTTGCGCATGCTCCGAATTCGGAGGATGAGTGTGTTTTGCATTGTTTGTTACAAGGGATGGTGGGGGGGTGCCCGCATTGCCCGCGGTTGGCTCCCAGTCGCTCGGGGGAGGGGGTGTTTATTAATAGGGAGCAGTGATCAAGACCCCTTTCTCGCCCGCAAGCCGTCTCGTTCCAGCCCCACCCGCCCTCCCAACGTAGCACCTGGCCCGAGCCGCAGCATACTCAGCAGTCGTCTTTGGATGGACAGCTACTGGGGGACCATCCGCCGCCGCCGCCGCAGCCGCCGCCGCCGTCGACGCCGCCTCCGCCTCCGCCTCCGCTGCCTGCCGTCGCCGCCGCCGCGTCGCCGCTGCCGCGCCGCTGCCGCCGCCGCCGCCGCCCCCGTTGCCAAATTGCCGCCGCCGCAGCCGCAGCCGCCGCAGCCGCTGCCGCCGCCGCCGCCGCCGCCGCCACCGCCGCCGCCGCCGCCGCAGCCGCCGCCGCCACCGCCGCCGCCGCCGCCGCCCCTTCCGCCGCAGCCGCCACCGCCGCCGCCGCAGCCGCCGTAGCCGCCGCCGCCGCCGCAGTGCCACAGCCGCCGCTGCCGCCGCCAAGTGTTCTCAGCATTTGTTTTTTGACAGGGATGGTGGGGGGAGGCCGTGTCGGGTTGGCTGCGCATGCTCCGGATTTGGAGGCAGAGTGTGTTTTGTATAATTATTACAAGGGATGGTGGGGGCGGTTGGCTCCCAGTCGCCTGGGGGAAGGGGTGTATACTAATAGGGAACAGTGATAAACCGTTCCCCGAAAGGGAAAGAAATCCCTAAACCACCTACGCCCAGAGGGCTGGTGGGATTCGCGCAGCCGCGTGAACGTTGAGGTACCCCGCTTCGTGCTGAAGGCGCGACGGCGGATTCTGCCCCCAAGCAGCGCCTGCATCGGAGGGTTCCTAAAGGCGCTGTGGGGAGCCAGCCCCGAATGCCGCAGCCGGGCGTTCGCGCGTTGGTGCCCCGCTGTGGCTGATGCCTCGTGGCGGCGGTGTTTTTTCTGGCTTGCCCTGAGACGCCCTGTGCTTGCCATGGTCGGCCGGTCGCGGGCGCTGGTGCCTCGTGGGCTTGGTGTGCCCTCGCAGTGGGTTCCGTGCGGTGCCCTGTGGGTGCCCTGTGGTGCCTTGTGGGTGCCCTGTCGGTGCCTTGTTGGTGCCCTGCTGTGCCCTGTGGTGCCCTGGGGTGCCCTGCGGGTGCCCTGTGATGCCCTGTGGGTGCCCTGCCCTGCGGGTGCCCTGTTGGTGCCCTGCGGGTACCCTGCGGCTGTCCTGCGGCTGCCCCGTGGTGCCCTGTGGTGCCCTGTGCTGTGCCCTGTGGCCTCGAGAGCCTCGAGGCGGCGGCAATCGGCGCTTCGACCGGCTCTCTGGCAGTGGGCGCCTATAGGGGAGGGGGGACTCAGAGTCTAGGAAGGAGAAAATACAGTGTAGGTTCGCGTCGTGTCGCGACCGGTGGCGGTTCCGCCGATGGCGCCAACAACGGTGAACGTCGATCTCTGACGTTCCGGGAACGGCCGATCGCTCAAGAGGTTAAGCGATCCCCGCCGTGTCGGAAACCAGCGCCGAGTGTCGGCACGGCATCAGCTTGCCGTGCCGACGCCGCTGCTCGCCCTGGAGGGCCCTCAGCGCCACCACAGCTAATTTATCCGCGATGTTTTGGGTCTCGCTTGCAGAAACACCTAGCTCAAGTTTAGAGTTGTGCAGAAGTGGCGCCGCTGACGTCGCTTTAGATTGCTCAGCGTTAAAGATCGTAGAGGTCACACTGATCGCGGCAGGAAAAAATCTAAAACAAATCTCCGCGATGTTCTGGTCTGAGCGCACCCCGCGAGAGCTCCAGGGGGTAGCAGTATATGTTTCGTGAGGTCCCCCGTGGTAACCCTGTAGGGTTGGTGCCTGTATGGCGGGTGCCCCATGGTGTTCCGTGTTTGGTGCCCTCTGGCGTGGCAGGTTCGCGTCGTGACGACGCGGTGGCAACCCCGCCGCGGGCGTTCAAGGTTGAGCGCCGCCAGTGGCCCAGCATCGGCCACTAGATATGGAACGGCCCGGCGATCGCAGAGTGCCGATGGTTCAAAAGGCGGAGCCATCCGCACGGTCGTCACGGCCCTGGCTGCCGTCGTCGCCACCTTTGGTACTGGGCCTGTTTTCCACCACCACCACCACCACCAGAAGTTGGAGGGGGGAAGAAGGTGGAGGAGGAGGAGGAGGAGGAGGAGGAGGAGGAGGAGGTGGAGGAAGAGGAGGAGGAGGAGGAGAAGGAGGAGGAGGACCCCCTCCCCCTCCCACTCATGGTTGTGGCGGTGGAACACAGGCCCACCCTCTGGTGCCCTGGGTGCCGTCGTCGCCGCCTTTGGTGCCCCTGTGGTCGGTGCCCTGCGCTTCGGTGCCACGCGGCTGCCGCCCCGCGGCTGGCCGCTCCGCGCGCGCGCGTGGTGCCCCCCGCGGCATGGTGCAGCAGAGGCCCGCTGCTCGCCGGGCCGGCGCGCCAGCACCGTGCGGCCTGCCTGCCTCCTGCTGCCTCCGCGGCGGGGTGCCGCTCGCCGCGCTGCCCGCGCGCCCAGGTGCGAAGTTCCTGGGCGAGACGCTCTCTGTCGCGCCCCGAGCCGCGCCAGGGGGGGGGGGGCCGGGGAGGGGGGCGGGGGGGGAAGGCGGAGGAGGACTGCCGAGGGGCGGCAGGCGCAAGGGGTGGGGGCGAAAGGGGGCCGCGAGGCGCGAGGTATTCGGATGTGTGGGTCGGCTCTCGGCGGTTCTCTCCAGCCTCGGGGTGCTCTCCAGCACCTGCCGACTGCGCCTCGCCGAGAGCGTTCTGGTCCGAACGGCCGCCGCATGCCAGAGTGATGACTTGCAAGTCGGGGGTGCAATTTTTCCACCGAGGAGCGTCGATGAGCACCGAGGGGAAATCAGCAAGATCTGCTCCTCAGACCTCCTCGCCAGGTGAATTGGGGCGAGGGGGAGGGTGAGATTCGACCGGCCTGCCAAGCCGACTCAGTCGGGGCTCTCCGGAGGGCCACATCTACGTCGCCTCCCGCTCAAAACGCGCGACAAAGCCCTGGCTCCATCTTGGACAGGGACTCTGAAAGTGCCCAGGGACACACGACCACATACTATACACGGATCCCACGATCCCCCACCGTTTCGTATGTTTTCTTGACGTTCGTCTTTTCCCCCCGCTTCCCAGGTTTTCCTGCGTTTTCCTGGGGATCGACGACTGACTGTGTCTGTTCGTTTCTTCCCCTCCCGAGACCTGCGTGCACTCTCTCGCGAGACCTCCGGTTCTGGGCGCGGTGCCTCGGACAGTGCCCAGCCTGCGGGGGCCTCGCCGACCATAAAAAGGCGGGGGGGCCAGAGTGAAGCGAGCTGGGCCCCGCCCCCTCCAGATCCCTAAGGGGGGAGAATCCATCGATACCCAGTCCGCAGATCCCCAAGGTGGGCGTCGCCAAAATCCACGATCGACTCTTCTTTGCCCCCGTTCTTCCTCGCGCATGTATTGAAGCTTCGTGCGTCGTTCGGTGCGTCCGTGGTTGTTGGGTTCCGCAGCGCTGTTTGTTGCAGGGTGTTCACGTGCCTGTTTCATGGTGCGCCACTGGCCTTTTTCCGCTGTGAGCCAAAGTGGCGGCCTGGGGAAACAGCGTCGCCTTGCAGCGCGAGCCAGGCGTCGCGCCTAGGCCAGGGTGCGGGCCGATCGCCGTCTATGCCCACGTCCCATCCCTGTTCCCGTCCTGCCGTGTCCCTCCTCTCCTCCCTTCCCTGCTTGGCCCCCGCCCCCTCCCCCGCCCCCCCAACCTGACTGGGAGGGCGGAAGGCGAGGGTGTCTGACTCAGAGGGCACCGCCAGCTCGCTCCCGGGCTCAAGACGGCCCATGCCCACCGATAACGCTGTCCCGAACTGCCGCAGCCCTAAACTCAAGGCATGTATTCCTGTCTGGAGGGTTTTCTGGACGACCCCCCACGCCATCTCGACTTGCGAGCGGTTCGGACCCTCTCACTTTTGAATGTTTTGGTGGCCCTCTTGGCTCCTGGTTTGGCGACAGGTCAGGCGGCAATATTTGACGTAACTTCTGGTGCGCGTTTTTGGCGACTGCTTTTGGTGGCCTTTTTTGGTTCGTTGTAAGAGGAATGATCACCGAGGCTTCTCAGCGCGAGTGGTTGGTGCCGGTCGCGCAGGGTCCGGGCGGTCTCCGTTCTGCTCAGGCGCATGCCCCGACGCATCAGCATAAGCCAGCCTCTAGAGGACATCTGGGGAAGGAGGGAGGGGCACGCGGAGGAGCAGGAAGAGGGAAGCCGGGCCAGGGTGAGGAAAGGAAGGGCCGGATGGTGGTCGGGGAGAGGGAAAGAGGGAACGCAGGGACAGGGAGGGCGGAGGGAGCACACGGCTGACAGATGGCGAGCTGGGGGCCCTGCTCAGCGCGAGCCGCCTGTCATATCCTCTGGTGCAGCGGGGGGTCCCTCCAGCTCAGGGCCGCCCGTCGCACCCCGGTTCTTGCCCCGCGAGGCCTGCAGCTCCACGGAAGGTTCGCCCCGCAAGTGCTGCCCCGCGCGAGCCAAGAGACGTGCCGGGCTGGTGGCCGAGCGCGTGCCGGGCGTCGCCCCAGGCGCGCCTGGCGCGCGCCGCCTGTCACGCCCCCGGTCGGGGGTGTGACGGGCGGCGCGCGCCGGACGCGTCCTGGACGGCGCTTGGCTCGCGCTCAGCCTCCCTCGGCAAGCGTGCGGGTCTCTCCTCGCAGGATGGATGCGGAAACAGCGTGTGTGTGTGTGTGTGTGTATGTGTGTGTGTGTGTGTGTGCGTGTGTGTGTGTGTGTGTGCGTGCGTGCGTGTGTGTGTGTGTGTGTGTGTGTGTGTGTGCGAGCGCAGTTACGAGACGATGAGTGCCGCGGCGGCGGCGTTCCGCGCAGAGTTTAGGACTTCGACAGGTCTTTTTAGAACCCGCGCCTGCATGAGCATCGAACCGATCGCCTGCGTGGGTTGTGGCGACCATGGCCACTGATGTTCCGCGATGACCATAATTACACTTTTTGAATCGGCGGCGCAGAGGAGCCTCAGGCGCGGTCGGCAGGTGGAGATGCCAATTGCGAACGAACTTAGTCGAACGCACAATGATGGAACAGCCCAGTCATGGCCGTGCAGAAGGTGGTGAAAAGAAAAACCGAGAGGCGCTGTAAAGCCAAGGTGCAGCGGCCCAAAAAAACGGAACATAAGATCAACGCGGATAGTTTGAAGCGCAGCGATGTACACACACACACACACACCGCCTGCGAAAGCAGGGCACATATTCTACAGCGCGTCGGAGAAAAAACAGTGCGAAGAGCATTTTGTTGGAGAGCTCATGGGCGCGGTTCCAGGACCGATGAGGAGAACAAGACACCTGGAGGGCAAAGTCTACTTGCTTCTAGTTGACCTATCTTTGGGACCTATGTCAAATACCTGTCTCACCTTCTAGCCACAAGCGTCTATAGGCACATTGGTTGTCGCTACGTACATATACCCATCCGTGGTGGATGCAGCCATAGACAGAGCGGTCGTTGCGTTCGGCGCAGTTCAAGGTCGGAGAAAGAATTGATCCGTCCACAGTACACGCCGGTCGTTGAAAGTAAGTACTGTTGGATTTCCCAGAATCCAATCTACTTTCAGCGCCTTCCTACTTCAAGAGTCGAGTGGTTTTCCCTCTTCCCTCCTCTTCAGGAGGCGGCGGAAACCCAATATATTTCCATCCTACTTCATGTTTCTACCTACTTCTTCCGACCGACGTGTATGCTCCTACTCTAGAGCAGGTCCCACATGGTACTCCAGCGAGTCACCCACAGCGGAGGTCGAGCCTCTGTGTTTTGCTGCAGGTTCTGGGGGGCACCGGTCCTCTGCAAAGCGCCGGAGCGCCCGACGCCCTGCCGGGCCAGCGACCACCGCGGCCTTGCCGACGATGTTTCGGGAGGGAGAAAACAACACACAGACACAATTGATCGTCGATTCCCAGAAAATATGGGAAAACATGGGAAGTGGGGGGGAAGACAAAAACCCAGAACAAAAAATGAAAATATGGGGAATCCTTTCTTTTGTGTGTATTTATTTGTGTGTCCTGGGGCCCCTTCATTTGTGTTTGCTGCAGGTTCTGGGGGGCACCGATCCTCTGCGAAGCGCCGGAGCGCCCGACGCCCTGCCGGGCCAGCGACCTTCGCGGTCCTGCCGACGATGCTGCCGACTGGCCTCGGAAAGTCCAGGGTTCGCCAGGGCTTGGTTTCGCTCCCAAAATTCGGATGCAGCTCCTGGGAGGTCAAATTCTGTTTTCGCCCTGGTCCGAAATCCAGTTTAATCCAGCTTGATCCCGCTTAATCCGGCTTAATCTCAATCCCGTCTAATCCGGCTTAATCTTGCTTGGTCCGAGGCCCTTTCCGGCGTAACAGCTCCCAAATGTGGCTTAATCCTCTTTAATCTTCCCGACGAAAACCTCCCAGTAGTTGCCTCCTAACCAAAACCACCCGAACCCCCGCCCCCCCAGAACCCTCTGACGAGCCTCCCCGGACCCTCCGAGGAGTGCTTTCGGAGGGTTTCGACGAGGATCCTGTCGGTTTGGGGGCGGACCAGCCCCTCGCGAGCCCAGGACTTTCGAGGACGAGCCCCGGTATACCAGGCCTCCTCGAGGTCGGGCCGGGCGATCCGTTGGCCCGCGCGCCTGCCCGACGCTCCCATGGCTTCCAGGAGGGGAAAAAACACGCAGACACAATTCATCGTCCACTCCCAGGAAAATAAGGGGAAAATATGGGCAGTGGGGTAGACAGAAACCCAGAACATATGTGAAAATATGGGGAATCCCTACGTTTGTGTGTACTTATGTGTGTGTGTGTGTGTGTGTGTGTGTGTGTGTGTGTGTGTGTGTGTGTGTGTGTGTGTCTCACAGGGCCCCTTCATCCACGGCGGGACACTTCCAAGGTGCTGACGAAGATCGAGGACGTCCGGCTGCTGCTGCCACAGGCGCACCGCGCTCGAGCTTTGTCCGGACATGCCAGGGGCTATGTTGGTCCGACCGATCCGACGTCGATTTCGGTACTGGTCGGCCCGATCTAGTGCGATTCTGGTATTCCGACGATCGGGTACGGCATGTTTGCAAGGCGGCTTAGTACGTACTGGTGCGACCGATTCGATATCCCTAGGAAGCAAGCCCTACCCCCCCAGGCGATATCGTCAGCACCAAAAGTGAAGTCAATGTTTCAGTTCTTCTGCCACCCTCCGGCGATATCGTTAGCACATACTACGAACCATACAATTAATCAATTTGTCCTTCGCTCTTGGACCTGGTCAAACGATGAACGTCGAGAGGCCATGAGAATACCAATGGGAAACCAATCGGAAGTTGCCTCTGGGTAACTTTGGAGACCTCCGGGGACCTCCGGATACCTCCGGGGGAGGAGTGAGAGAAAGGAGGAGGAGGAGGAGGAAGAGGAAGAGGAGGAGAAAGAGGAGGAGGAGGAAGAGGAGGTGGTGGACTTTGCGGGGGACACCCGGGCACCGGTGCCGGAAGCGGTATAATTTCCTCGGAGGAGGGGTGGGGGAGGAATTTTTGATTGCCTCATTAGGGTCAGACTTCGGCTCCGTGTCGATGCGGCCTGACCCGACGCACCCTCGATTCGATCCTACTCCCCGATTCGATGCTGACTGATCTTGCATGCTCGCGTCGTGACAAGAGTACGATGTGGGGCATTTGGGCCGTTTTCGGCCTCCAGGGAACCTCGGCGTGCTCCCCGCAGGGGCCGGCTCGGGATGATCAGCTGGCCCTGGGCAGATGGCGAGGCTTCTGGACTTCCCGTATTGAGCAAAGCAATGGTCATGATCTTGACATACGAAGCATGGCGATTTCTGGCGAGAGCCATGCGCATGTTGGAAACGGCCCGCCTTAAACCCTTGTATGTGTTGAAGCTGACAGGCTTTCATGCCCAAGGAAGTTACAGATTGAGACAGGTTTTGAAAGTGATCCGCCCTCCATCCATATGACAAATCGAAGGTTTGATCGAAGACGCCTACGGCGAATCACCGCCGCCCCCATACGGCGGGTCACCGCCGTTCCCTTTTGGCCACGCTATTGGGCCATGCGTTCCTCCAGCCGACGTGGAAGCCCTTCGGAGAACACGTGGGGCAGGAAGAGGAGGATGAAAGGAGGGAGGAAAAAGGATGATAAGGAGAAGGATGAGGAGACCTATTGAAAGCTTCTTGGGTCACTCTTGGGGCCTACTGGGAGCTTCTGGGGGCCTCTTGGAGGACTCTTGGGGGCCTCAGGGGGCTTCTTGGGGGTTTCTTGGACCGCCTTCGGAGATTCCTAGCCCGTCAGGCGCCGCCTGGAGCCGTATTGGCGACCTCTCTGGAGCGTTTTGGGGCTTTCTTCTACGGCGTCTGGGAGGTCTCTTGGGCCCTCTTGGGGCCGTCTTGGGGGCCTCTTGGGCAGTTATGGAGCTATCTTAGAGGCCTCTTGGGAGATCTTGGGGCGATCTTGGGGGGATCTTGGGCAGTCGTGGGCCGTCGGAAGGCCGAACATAAGCAAATGCCACATCCTTCAAAAAACCTAGTCGGGGCCCTTTGGGCCGTCTTGGAGGCGCCCTGGGCGCTTCGTGGGCCGCTTTGCCGCTCTTGGACCATCTTGGCTGTCTTCGAGGCATCTTGGGACCGTCTTGGAGGTCATCGTGAGTGGGCTCTCTTGGGGCCATCTTGGCCGTCTTGGGCCCATCCTGAAGGCCGTCTTGGAGGCGATTCGACCCACGAGATATGACTTTTCGGTGGCGTTCCTGGTGACTGGCGCAGTGGACCGCAGCCCCAGGGGGAGCCGCAATTGACTGAAACAAAAAACAAGAACCATCGGACACTCAGCACGCCGGGCACCCTTGTGAGAAATCAACAGGGGGCGGCGGATGTAGTGGCACTCGTCCCATCCCGCCACCATGCTTGGAATGTAGGTCAGAGGCCGTGGATGCATATGGAGATATTTGGGGATGTCTTTCGGGGGCGCCTTGGCCTCCTTGGGACCGTTTGGGGTCCTGATGGGGTATCTTTGGGGCCTCTTGTGGGCTTCTTGGAGGCCTGCTGGCGGTCTTGGAGGCAATCTTTGGGGGAAAGGCTCCAAATGTCAGTTCGAGTTCCCCCTCCTGGGCCTCGGAGCTCTATTGGGGCGTTTCGGGCGCCTCTTGGGCCCTCTTCAGGCTAGCTGGGGCGTCTGGTGGCGATCTTTGGGTGTCTCGGGGCCCTCTGGACCGTCTCGGAGGCCTCTTGAGGCTCTCTTGGTCCGTCTTAGGGCCCTCTTGCTTCCAGAAAAGTCACCCGGTGCCCAGATATCCAGGTTCCGTGGCGTTACAGAGTATACATATTTCTGCACAGAGGACGAAGGTTCTCAGAGATCTGAGGACACTCCACTTCGTGCCTCTGGGCGTGGCGGATATTCAGGACATCACCGCCTCCGCCATCCATGTACATGTTGGAATCTTGCGCTTTGGACAAGCAGCTGCGAATGTGTCTCCAACGAAAAGCCCAGGCCGCCCCACAGACTCGTGCGGAGGTGCGCAGGAGCTGTTGATGATGAGTAAGGGGAGGGAGGGAAGAGGAGGGAGGGAATGAGTAGAAAGGGGGAGGAGGAGGAGAAGGAGGAGGAGGAGGAGGAGATTGAGCAGGAGGAGGAGGAGGAGGAGGAGGAGGAGGAGGAGGATCAGGGGCAACGTTATGGGGGGATACGCTCGGGGGAGGCATCGACCCACAACCGGCCATTCATCGCCGATAGGGGCCTGATATCCCACCCCGCCCGGGAGCGTGGGGACTCGCTATCGAGACCCTATCGCCGATCTATTGACGATGCACCGTCGATTCCAGGTCGACGATTCCTCCTCGAGCTGGCCCTCCCGTAGCGTTGCCCCTCAGAGGATGGAGAAAGAGGTCATCCGATGTCTTGCTTTGTTCAATACGGAGTCTCTGGAAGTCCCGACCCTTTCCCCAGGGCCGGTTTTTCATCGCGAGTTGTTTTTTGATGGTCCCAGGGCCCGGCGAGTTCCCCAGAGGCCGAAAAAGACCAAAAACCTCCCGTCGGGATTTTTTCTTGACACGCGCGCGTCTGGGGACTCCCCACTGAAGACTTTTTTGTTGAGGGTCTGGCGACAACCCCGTTTATCGGGCCTGCGCCCCCCCCCACCCCTCCCCATCCCATCCCCGGACAACTTGACCTTGTCAGTTGCGCAGGTCCGAAGGGGGTGCCCAGTATTGGTTCGCGCGGGTGTACGCGGGACTGCTCAAAGCGACATGGTCAGGTCATCGGCCAGCAATTCCCCCCACCTCCCCCCCCCCCCGGATCACCCGGGCCAACGCCGCAAAACAAGACGAAAGAGCTCTGGGAACGGGACCCCCCGCGCGGCCCGGGGAGGACGGGCGGCCCGGGGAGGACGGGGCGGGGCGAGAGCACGCTCGGGGCCGCTGGCGCAGGCGCCCGTGGAGCAGTTGCAGGGCGAGGCGCTGCAGTCCTGGTACCTGCCCACCAACGGGCAGTGGGTCGTCGACGACGGCATCGCCGCGCCGGCCATCGCGTACGTCCGACATCGGGGGGAGGGGGGGGGGGGAGACCACGTCTCTCAGGAGCCCAGGTCGCGGTGCAGAGGAGGAAGAGGTGCCGCTGCCGCTACCCGCTCCCCTTCCCTCGTCGCCACGGCTGGTTTCGCCTCGAGATCCTGGTCAGAGCGCGCCCCTGGCGAGCTCCGGGGGGCAGCGGTATGAGGATCGTTCCAGAGGGTCGTCAAGTCCGCACCGTGGAAAGCGGAAGCCAGCAGATCCGCAAGAAACTTAGCAGAGTTGCGTCAAAGCGTGGGCTGATAAGGGCAGGCAGCTGTCCTGGCGGCACGTTTTGAAAACCAGCCTACCAGAGCGGGACGGCACGTCTGCTCTTGGCACGCGTGCTTGAGGTCTTACAGACGTGTGCGCATGCAGACCTGCCGCGCACGGTGCCGCATCTGTTGCGCGTCAGCGACAACATTAGTCATGCTGCGCGGGTTGATACAGTACAATGTTCCTTGTTGTCACGTCTTTCTTTGCAGTATATTCCATGTCGACTCTGGGAACTCTTAGGATCAGGTGAATTTCGGCAGCTTTGCAACTCGAGCCACAGCCTAGACAGCAGGGCCTCTGGCGTGCGACGTTGACCAGCCTGAGCAGATCCTCAGGCCCGGCAATACCAGCCAGGGTAGGGAGTGTTGCCTGCCCCAGGTCCACGCGATGATCAGGCGAGAGGTAGCCCGTGGAGTACCACCTCACCAGATAGTGGTGGCAAGGGTTATGATGTTTCAACCTACTTTGGCCTTCATCACCAGACCAAATTCCCAGCACCAAGTAAGTACCGAAGCTGAAGGGTTTTCACATGTCGGGCTCTGGGAGGCCATACTCATTCGACACTGTTTCGGCACTTGTCTGGATGCTCGAGATTACTTCTGGGATGTGGCCCTTGAGTACGATTGGAGCAACATAATGCAAAGGGCCGGCTGGGCGCCAACCCGCCGTGCTGTGCTTACGAGGAGGCCTCCGCACCCGCTTTCCGAGGTGCCCGCCGACCTCGGCGCTGGATGCGCGAAGATGGTCTCGCTTCGCGGCACGAGCCTCCGCGCTGCCCTTCTCCAAGCAGGGCCGCGCGAGGGCGCGGAGGTGTATCTCTCGTCGCGCGCCGCGCAGCGCCCTCGCGCGAAGCGCGAAGGCGGGCGACGACTGTGCACAATTGCTCTCCGTAGTCGCTTGCCGACCTTCCGTTGTCAAGATTTGGCTGGCTCTCGCCGTTGGCAGGCCCCTCTCGAGCACCCAGGGACCTCGACGCCGGTGCCACTGGACAGCCCGGAGAGTCGACCAGTCGCTCGCGAGAGCCGCGCGAACGGACCCGAGGGGATGAGGCGCAACTTGGCCAGTCTGAGCTCGCCCGGCCGGACTCGGCCAGGCCGAATCCGGCCAGGCTGGACTCGGCCAGGCCGAACTCGGCCAGGCTGAGCCCGGTCAGGGTCGCACGCGGCCGCAGCCGGGCTCGGCAAGGCAAGATTCGGCCCTGCCGAACTCGAGCCGGCCGAATTCGGCGGGCGGTCTCGCTGGAGCGTGTCGCTTGTCGAACTCGGCTGGCCGAACTCGGCTGGGCCGAACTCGGCTGGGCCGGACTCTGGCGGGGCCGAACTCGCTCTGATCGCGCTCGGTTGAGCTCGTTCTCGTGTGCCTCTGAGGGACAAGGGAACAACGGAGGACGAGGAGGAGGATGAGGAGGAGGAGGAGGAGGAAGCTGAAGCTGACTAGCTCGATCCATCCGAGGGATCGCTCGCCGCTATTGGCGCCGGCCACGAGGGAGGAGAAACACTCCAAACATGGCCGAATAGGCAGCCACCCAAGGGGCCGCCACCAACCCCAGGACACCGAGCGAGGCCCACAGGGCCCACAGGAACCCGTGGGTTCCTGTGGCCACCGAGGCCACAGGAACCCACGGCCAGAAGAGAGAGTTCCACCCCCCTCCACCTGTCAACACTTCGAGAATTCCCCAAAGACGAGGTAGCTGTCCTCGACCCGATGGAAATCCACAGGCACACTCACGATGCCGTCGACCCCGTCGAACCCGAGGAGGCACTGGCACCCTCGATGAGCGCCAGGAAGGACTCCTCGAGCACACCGTTGGAAACGAGAGTCCTCGAGCGAGTGCGGATCTCGTCCAGGCAGTCCTCCTTGGACAGCTCCTCCGTCTTCCGCTCCTCGCCACAGACGCCGTTGTCGTCAACGGCCGAGAGCACAGGGAAGGGCGGCAGCGGGGGCAGGTCCTGCTCCTCCACCTCCTTCGGGTTGTTCTCCTGTTGCTCGTCGCCGTCCGAGATGTCGAGCCAGGCCGTCTTGTGCTGACAGCCGAGGTAGCTGATGCGCGGCAGCGTCTGGCCGAGCTCGACCTTGCTGCCGTGGGCGCAGGCTGCACCCGTCTCCTGTCCTAAGTCCTGCCAGGGATTCGGCCCTGGCGCCTTCCACCCACAACCCGTGTGAACCTCGACGCGGTAGTCGATCCCCACCTGGTCGAAGTTGTCCGTCTCGAGCCGCCAGAGCGCGAGCCTGTCTTGCTGCGCCTTCAGCGTCTTCTGAAAGGCCCACTGGTTCTGCTCTCTCACGAGCTCGCGGGTGTCCATCTCCTTCGCGTTCAGTTGACCTCCTGCGGCGGCGAAGGACTCCTCCTGCGCCGGCGGCGGCCACGCTCCTTCACGTCCTTCTTCGGCTTCCTGGTGTCGCCCGCAGGGTTCGCGCCCATCCAGTCCGTCAGCATCGACGTCGTGGCGGCCTGCCCCTGGGCACTCCTGGGCACCGACTTGCTCGTCGGCCGAGCGCGCAGCGCAGGCTGCTCCTCCTGGCGCCTGGTCGCCGAGCGGCTCCGCGAGCGTGTCCCCGGCACGGGTGGCGCAGACGGCACCGCCGTGAGTCGGCTCCACCTGCGCAGGTGCGGCCCGAAGGTGCCTGGCGGCGGCGACGGCGGAGCGGCCCTGCAGAGGGTGGTCACCGCATCCGTCGACGAGCCATCCTCGATCGCCAACAGCAGCTGCGGCGCCTGCGAGGGCCGCGGCGGGGCCGCGGGGGGCAGCAGCGCTGGCGGCAGCCGCCCTGGCCGAGCCTTCGCGGGGAGGGCCGCGGTGACCGCCGCTGTCACGGTCGCCGCCACCACCCGCTCGACCATCTCCACGCCCACAGCAGCTTGCCAGTTCTGCCTGACCCGAGGCTGCGTCGGTATCTCCTGCCTCCGTGGCGCTGAATCTCGCCATGACATCCACCTGGCTCGGCAACGCTGCGCCCTTGCGAGTTGCGCGAGCCTCTGGCTTCGGAACGAGTGCAGGTACGGTACCAGCACGGAGGGCCCGACCGATATCGCGGCGCAGCAGGGGCGCGGCCGCGACCTCGGCGGGGGGGGGGCGCTCCTCAGCCGCAAGGAGGAGGAGGAGGAGGAGGAGGAGGAGGAGGAGGAGGAGGAGGAGGAGGAGGAGGAGGAAGAGAGAGGAGAGGGGAGGCCGAGTGTGGTGTGGGATTCATGGGGCGTCTTCTGCGTTTCTTGGCGGCTTGCCTGCGAAGGCGGACGCCATCTGTCACAGCCTCTTTCCTTCTACAACGCGAATTGGCTGTTTTCGGTTCGCGAGGGGGCGTCGCGGCCGTCATTTTTGCGGGTCCAGGTCCGTCGGTTGCGGTTCCAGGCCGTTTTCATTAAAGGGAGTTTTTTAAAAGGGAGGTTTGTCCACCGCCGAAAGGCCGTCGACAAAACAGTCCATTTATATGTATATTATTGCACGAGTGATAGGTCAGATTGTAGTGGGAACTGCTTGCCTGCAGATATCATGCAACGCGCGCGCAAAATACACAGCAGTTTCTGTTCACGTGCCGACGGTGGCTGGGTCGCGCGTTCATGCGCGACACGGCCACCGTGGGCATGTGAAAACCGCACACGCAAACTCATGCAAAAACGCTCCTACAACCACGCGTACAAAAAGTGTACAAACATCCCGGAGGCGCCTACATTTGTTTGTTGGCTCCAGGGGGGTCGACGTGTGTCATTGTTACACATTCTCATGGCCACATAATGGCGCGTACAAGCATCCCAGGCGCCTAGGAGGCGGATTAGGCGTCGCAGGAGGACAATGTAAGTCCAGACAGCCTGTGTTTTGGCTTTGCCACCGTGGGGTTCCCCATCCCCAGGGCCTGGTTTTCCATCCTGGTCGGTTTTTCAATGTCCTGGGGCCCGATGAAGGCCCCCGGAGTGTGAAAACGGTCAAACGCATCACGCCGTGCTTGAATTTACGACGCGAGCATGCCTAGGATGGAGAGCAAGGACGGAGGAGGAGGAGGAGGAGGAGGAGGAGGTGGGATGAGGAGGAGGAGCAGGAGGAGTAGGAGGAAGGAGGGAGGAGGGAGGAGGATGAGGAGGACGACGAGGAGGAGAAGGACGACGAAGAAGAGAAGGACCAGTGTAGACCCAAGACTCGTCAGCGATGTTGGAACAAACCCTCCGTCCAAGCTCCCTCTTCAGAGGCGCCTACAGGGATTCATTTCAACTGAGGAGAGTGCCCCGCTGGGAGACAACCGTTTGAAAATCCTGAAGCGTGCCAAAATACCATTCTCGAGACTTCAGCACCACGAATCCACATAACTGTTGCGTCTTGACAATCCAATACACCACTCTTGGGACTTCAACACCGCGAATCGTAACAGTTGCGCCAACACGGTCCTGAATGGTTTCCTAGCACCGTTTCTGGTAGTCGTGAAACTCTTTCATTTGTTGTCTGAAAAGACTGCGCGGGGCGAAGGCGAGAGCCAGATCTTAAAACGGAGACGCCCTCAATCCTTGAAGCTCTTGTAGACTTTGTTTGACGAGTGTGCGCGGCGCTACGGCGAGAACCACATGTTGAAAACGACCCGCCCTCAATCCGCTCAAATCTTGCAATTTGCTAAGGCGAGAGCCACGTTAAAAAGATCGACCTGGCCTCAAACCATGGAGCTGCTGCAACCTTTGAGACGAATGCGCGCGGCGCTAAGGTGGAAGCCACATTTTGAAAACGATGTGTCCTCAATCCGTGAAGCTGTTCCGAATTATTCAGCTTTAGGGTAATAAGCGGTAGGGAAGTCTCGCGCGGAACATCCGGCCCGCCCTTCCGATTGGCTTTCGGGTGCGACAGGGAGTAGTTATTTACAAGGAGAAACAGAGAAGGAGGAGGAGGAGAAGGAGGAGGACGAGGAGGAGTAAGGGCACGGACGAGGACGGCGGCGGCGACAACGACGCGCTGCGCGCTGCCTCCGAGAGGTGGGCGGCTTCGCGCAGGGGGGCAGCTGTGGCGTCCGGGCCGCGCTGAGCTTCCCAGACGCGCCGTTGGGTGGGATCTTGCCGCGGGCAGCCTGGGAAGAGAGGGGAGGAGGAGGAGGAGGAGGAGGAGGAGGAGGAGGAGGAGGAGGAGGAACAGGAGGAGGAACAGGAGGAGGAACAGGAGGAGGAACAGGAGGAGGAGGAGGAGGAGGATGACGAGGAGGAGTCATGGGGTCATGGGTCATGCGTCCAGGAAGTGTGCGGTGCACACCGCGCGGTGTGCACACCGCACGCAGGCGGGCCGCAATGGCAGGCAACTGTGTCCACCAGTTCAACAGCCCAGTTCAAAAGCTGGCGCCGAGGTTTGGGCGCCCGTGGTGCAACCGCAGCTGCTGCGGTGCATCCGCCCCGAGCCTCGCTCACGAACTTGGCGGCAGGGCCCCCGCCGTCACAGTTGGGCTCGCCTCGAGGCCCTGGCCAGATAGCGCTTCCTGGGGTCGAGCTTGAGGGAGAGTGTGGAGGACGTCGACCTCCACCTTTCTAGGAGTGGTCGGAGGAGGAGGAGGAGGAGGAGGAGAAGGAGAAAGAGGGGGGGAAAGGGGAGGAGGAGGAGGAGGAGGAGGAGGAGGAGGAGGAAGAGGAGGAGGAGGAGGAAGAGGAGGAGGAGGAGGAGGAGGAGGAGGAGGAGGAGGAGAGGTAAGAGGAGGAGGAGGAGGAGGAAGAGGTGGAGGAGGAGGAGGAGAGGTAAGAGGAGGGGAAGGAGGAAGAGAAGGAGGAGGATAAGAAGGAAGAGGACGAGGAGGAGATGGAGTTATGGGAAGGGGAGGACGAGCCGATAATTATGCCCGACGGGTTGCGGAACTCCACAACTTGGCACCCAACGAACTCAACAACGGTTTGTCGAAGAGCGTGGGCATCGTGGCTTGTGGCATGGAGTTTGTGGGGGTTCTGAGTTTACGGCCCCTTGTGAGCGAAGCTTGCGGTACCCTCAAAAGGACACCTAGACCCACAATTCGGCGGCAACCTGGGCCCCAGCGTTCCCCCAGTTGGGCTGGGGCGTCGTGGATGTGTCCTGTTTGTCTCAGGGAGGTACCCTCGAAAACGAATTCGCCGCGCGGCCAGCTTAACCCGACCTCGCCGCCCTCTTGGGTGGGGCCGGCTCTAGGCACTGGCGCACCTCGAGGGTTTGGTTTATGCTGTTTTATCATACGTTGTGTTCTTAGTGGGAATTTGTCACCGTGCCGTGCCCTCCATCACCCCACAAGTCTTCCAGGCGGTCGAAGCCTCTGAAGTGCAGGGTGCTCGGGCCTGACGCTACGCACGGGCCGCAACGCCTCAGGCTGGGGCTGCCCCGGCCCCTACCCGAGCCCTTTGTCCTCCCTCTTTCTGCGGACTGCTCCCGCAGCGCCGCTCACCTTCCCGCATCCTCGCCATGTTCCTCGCCCTCTGACCTTTCTCACCTTCGTGCTGACTGCATCTTCGCCCGCTTCCTCCGCCTCCACCTGTTCCTTCACCTTTCGTGCTGACTGCATCCTCGCCCTCTCCCTCCACCGCCCTCCTCGCCTGCCTCTTCCCGCCTCGCTCCCCGCCCTCTGCCGCTGTCGCTTGGCCCTCCGCTCTCCTCCTCGGCGCCTCCGCCCTGCCGCAGTGGGCCATGGCGCGGTGGCCTCCGCGGGGGCGGGCCCTGCTCCGTCTGCACACCCAGCGCTCCGCGGGGGTCGTCGGGGGAGGCGCGCTTCCAGATGGAGATGCGCCCTGGGCCTGGACCTCCCCCGCTCCCTCCCCGTGCCCCGCCCCCTGATTCCTCCTGTCCCGCGGCTCCTCGGCCCTCGCGTCCTCCCTTTTCGCTGCCAGCCACCCCCCCCTTCCCCCCCCCGCCCCCCCTCCGTGCCTGCCGCCGCGCTCCGCAGCGGCGCGCGCCCCTCGCAGACACGCCCGACGCAGGTGGTGCGGTCGCGCTCTCGTCCTTCTTCGGCTCGAACGCCGCCGCCGTGGCTCCCGCGAACAGGCGCCTGAAGGCCCGGGGGGGGCCCCCAGCCACATCGCGTGCGCGCTCCCGGCCGAGGCCGTGCCGTGCCACTTGGAGCACCGCTGCGCTTGCTTAGTGGATTGCGTGGATGTATCTAGTTGTTAGAGGTTCGGCAACATAAGCGAAGCCCTTTACAAAACGTCTTAGCACATTAACTACAACCTGGGATGCTAACCACTTTAGGGTAGGGGCGCTAACCCACTTAGCAGGGTTCGGCGAACCCGATTCGCGACTCTGCTATCCTGGATCGCTGTGACCTGCAGGGGCCTTTGCTTGGGCCTCACGCTGCGGATTTTGCAGCAAATTCCCCCCACATAGGAACTATATTGGTGGGCTTCTGGAAAATCGACAAGCTTTTGAAAACCAAAAACCTTGGGGCCGAGCATTGTACGATGTGGCATTTTCTCAGACAGTCACTGTGCTTCAGGCTCGACGGCGTCATGCGCCTTTGAAAATCCGACGCATCTCAAGGCGGCCAGCGTCGGATGGGGAAAAGGAAATTGAGGGCGCAGTGCATGCTCTCTCCACCTCCTCCTCCTCATCATCCCTCTCCTCCTCATCCTGCCCCTGTTCCTCCTCCTTCTGCCCCTCTCGCTCCTCCTCCTCCTCTTTCCTCATCGTCGTGCCCCAACAGTAGTGAAGAGGCGACTGGGTTGCCAAATGCACTCGCAAGGAACATACCCAGCTATGGCAAAGAGGACCCTGGCCCACAGCTTGCCACACGGGAGCAAACAGTAACATAAACATGAAAACTCAAGGAATGGAAGAGGAGCAGGAGGAGGAGGAGGAGGGAGGAGGAGGAGGAGGAGGAGAGGAGAGAGGAGGAGGAGGAGGAGGAGGAGGAGGAGGAGGAGGAGGAGGAGGAGAGGAGGAGAGAGGAGGAGGAGGAGCAGGAGGATGAGGAGATGAAGCAGTGGAGGAGGAGGAGGAGGAGAGGAGAGGAGGACGAGGACGAGGACGACGAGGACGAGGACGGGACGAGGAGGAGAGGAGGAGGAGAGAGGAGGAGGAGGAGGAGGAGGAGAGGAGGAGGAGGAGGAGGAGGAGGAGGAGGAGGAGGAGGAGGAGGAGGAGGAAGGGAAGAAGGATAATGATGATGATGAGGAGGAGGAGGAGGAGGAGCAGAAGGACGAGGAGAATAAGGAGGAGGAGTGGGGGGATATGAGAGAAGGGGGGGCGGAACTCAGAGGAGGAACAGTTCGAGAGGGAAAAGCAGCAGCAGCACAAGGGGAAGGTCGAGGTCGAGGAGGTCGCGCAGGTCGAGGAGGAAGAGCAAGCAGTAGCAGCGGAGGAGGTCGAGGTGAAAGAACAGCTGGAGGAGATGAGGAAAGCAAGAGGGTGAGAAAAGCAGGAGGGGTGAGGAGAGAATGAGGGGTATCACGATGAGAAGGGAGCAAGATGAGGAACAGGAATTGGCTCAGAGCAACGCCCCGAGCTTCAGCCTCGGAGGCAACAGCACATGGCTGATCGAGCCCTGGGGGCTCGGCCAAAAAACGCAGGGCTCGATGAGGCTCTGCGTGTCAACCAAGCAAATGTTGTTCTGCGACACAACGCACTTCGCCCAAGTGGGCTGCGATTCCACAACCTGCCATCTATGTATGCAGGTCGAAAGCTCACCACCAATACTCGCATGAAACAGCACAGGCCCGAACTCAACGACGTTGTCGCTGCGAAATGCAACCACGTCCCCTACGTGAACAACACGGCAGTGCACGTGCGCATCCCTAGACGTGAACACCTCGATTCCATTGTGAATGTCATTGGACGTGCTTGCGAGGGTGGCTCGGACCTTTTTTGTCGCGGCCTTTGGGTTCAGCAGGGTCGGTTTGGTCAAGGGGTCCTTCAACTGGTAGAGATGGGCCAACGTGATTTCTTCCATGAGCCCCCTGTTGTAAGAAACGGTGGTGTGTCTGCCTTCTGCCGTGACCTTCACGTGTCGGTGTTTGCGTTCCTGGACAAACGTTGATAACAGGCACGTATGTCTCCGAAGAATGTCTGGAAGATGCATTGTAAAATGCGTTTTGGGGAGCCAGAGGTCGAGGCCATAAGCTGCCTTGTGCAGCGATAGGTGTCGCCCAATGGCTGTTGCAAGCTGGCCTGCGCGTACCAAGCCAGAATTCACTATGGTCAACAATTGCACCACGACGCATAAGGAAATGCCGCTCATGACCTCAGCACTGTTGTCGCCGACGGTTGGGAGTGCCACCTCCCGCAACCACTTCTCGAGCACCGATGCGGACGATAAGAAAACAGAGGCGTTGCCTGAGGGCTTACCATCGGAACACAACTTCTTGGCATCGGGGTATGCCAAAGGCCACTGCCACCCCTGAAGGTACGAATCAAACACGGCACTGTCTAGTCTAACACGTGTTAAACGAACAAACAATTCTGTCACTTCTTTCGTGTAAACACCATTGATCATGTAACAATGCATCCAGTCCCAACACCAGACCCCCGTAACGTCGATGTCGTCTACGAGGCTCTCATCCTGGAGCCAGTTGGACTCCGCGAACTTGAAGCCCATCAGGGTCTCGTAAGTCTCCAGCTCGCGATTGTTACCACTGGCCACGGCCGTCATCCATAACTCTCGAAGCTTGCGCTGAATGCCACGCACGGTGCTGGCGGTGTTCGGCCTGAACTTTGAAACGTCAACCTCGGCCGCCGAGACGATGAAATTGGTGGGGTCGGGGAGTAGCTTCGACCTGTGGCCAACCACGTTTGCACACATGGCGCACAACTTGTGCGCGGTGGCACCCTTCACGTTCATTGACGACTTGAACGCGCGCTCATCTTGCACGATGATGCCCAAGCGTCCGAACACCAATCGCGGCACAGCCTCCCCGCATATCAAGATGGACACGCCATCCCTCAAGTCTGGCTTGCCGTCAGCACGGCCAAAAAACTGGCGAAGCACATGACGGAACACCTGGGACATGTTGCCGTCCATCTCGTCGACGCTTGTCGATTGGAGGGCCGCTATGGTGTTCCACGCGGCCTCCGCGGACAACGCAGGAAACCCCAGCTCTGCCATGCCCCAGTAGACGGTCTGCACCTTGCGGGCATTGTGCTCCGCAAGGGCGTTCCCTGGAGTGACCTCGTCAGCATAAAGTAATATTGTGATGCAATTCTGGCTCCGATCTAATGCCTAGGGGGGGGCGTCAGCCATTCCAACGGGGAGCCGAGGGCGCGGGGCTGGGGACGGTGGAAGGGGGATGGTGCGCGTGTGTGTGTGTGTGTGTGTGTGTGTGTGTGTGTGTGTGTGTGTGTGTGCGCGCGCGCGTGTGTGTGTGTGTGTGTGTGTGTGTGTGTGTGTGTGCGTGCGTGCGTGCGTGCGTGCGTGCGTGCGTGCGTGCGTGCGTGCGTGCATGTGTGTGTGTGTGCGTGTGTGTGTGTGTGCGTGGGCGGGGGGTTCTCCACCTCCTCCTCTTCGTCTCCTCCCTCCTCCTCCTCATCCCCCTCCTCCTCCTCATCATCATCATCACCATCACCATCACCATCACCATCATCATCATCATCATCACCACCATCATCATCATCATCATCATCATCATCATCACCATCATCCTCATCCCCCCCCTCCTCCTCCTCCTCCTCCTCCCTCCCAGTCCACCCTCCCTCCTCCACCTCCTATCCTGATCCTCCTCATCCTCCTCCTCGTCACCATCCTCGTCCTCCTCCTATCCCTCTTCCTCGCCATCCTCCCTCACCCTACGCACATTTCCCCTCGTCCTCAGCCCCTGCCCCTCTCCATGGAAGAATGGATGACAGCCCCACCCACGGCCTCGACTAGTGTCTCCCTGTAGCAATCAGAGAACTTCGAGGCCGCCTCCAAGAACCCAAACGGGTGTTGCAAATACATGTCCACGTGCTTCCCCTTCACCGTCTCCACTCTGTGGAGCTGCAACAGCGTGCCGAACGACGTCATCTGGAACGCGATCTTCTGGCGCTCTCGCTGGATCGCCGACGGGCTGGATGCTGACGGCAAGCCCTCTCGGCGCACCTGGTCAAGAATTTGCGAGAGGGCGCGAGCCGTGACATGAGCGCGGCGGCCGAAATCTGTGAGCTTCGGTGTCTTAAGGGGCGGCTCCATTGCGAGCAGCTGGCCAATGCCAGAGCCAAAATGGCTACGGGGGGCAATGAGGGAGGGCGTGGCGACGAGGATGGGGCTGGCGGGAATGTGGCAACAGGGGTGGCTGCGGTAGATGGCGACAACGGCGCCGACAGAGGCGGCGCCCTGGACATTTGCATGACGCTTCGCGGCCCACTCCCGATCTGGTTGTGTCTCTAGGCGGGGGGAGGGGCGGTGGGGAATGTATCGGCCCCAGGCGGACGGGCACCGCTCCTCATTCGCTATCGGACGGGACCACACTCGACATGTCGACGGCCCTCTCGAGGCGCCTGACCTTGGTCTCGGTATCCAGTATCCGCTTGAGCAGTTTGAGGTTCTGTTTTCGTGGTCCACTCGTCCTGGTTTTTGTTTGGCGCCCCTGGACCTCCCAAACCACACGTTTGCAGCGAATGAAATCGTCACGGTGCACCGCCCATGACCAACTGGTAAACTGAGCATGCTCATTGTATTATTTGGTCTTGAGCGTGAGGGTTGCCACATTTAGTCTCATGATCCCAACGTCAGTCCTCAAGTCCCTGACCAGAAGGTGTTGGACTTCCAGGCTCGGTTTGATGCTAGTGAGCTTCCGTTCGAAGCCCTATGAGGCATCCAGTAATCTGGACCCATCCTTCTCTTCTTCCTCCTCCTCCTCCTCCTCCTCCTCCTCCTCCTCCTCCTCCTCCTCCTCCCCCTCCTGCTCCTCCTCTTTCTCCTCCCACTCCTCCATCCATCCCTCCCACATCCTCCTCCCCCCTCCTCATCCTGATCCTTATCCGTTTTTTCCGTTTCCTATTTTTTCATTATTCTTAATCATCTTCCTCGGACGCCACATTTCTCGAGTTGCCCTCTTGCGAGCCTCCCCTTGACGAGCACGGCCCCCT